GCCCCCATCCTACTCTCCCTGGCATTCCCCACACCATTGTCCATGTCCATGAGTTCTTTTCTATTTTTTCTTTTTTGAGATTACTGTTTCTTTCAAATTATATAGTGTATTGAAAATAAATGTATTTTGCACTGTGATTTGACATATTTTTTATTTTACTTTATATCAGTCAAGTTAGAGTTTTGGCCTATATTATTAAAATTATCAAGTATTCTTATTTAAAGCATAGTGTTATGTGCTTTAAATAAATCAGTGATGTCATTGAACTAAAAGGCAGCTATTGAAATGGCTTTCTATTAAGTAAATTATTCAAAGACCAGTTGAGATATAAGTGATGTGTTTCAGTAATAGAAAGGTACTTAGACATCCCATTATTGGGTTACTGACTGAGGAACATTTTAATCTCTGCTATCCAAAGTATTCTCAATCATGCTCTTTAAAGCATTTGGTCATTTGAACATCAAGTATAATTCAAGAAAAGGATGAGACCTAAAAAATTCATAATGAAACATCTTCTAAAAGACTATTAGAAGCCTCTGTTTCATTAATTTACTCCCTGATTTAGGGGCAACATTATCCTCCATCTTCAGGAGAAGGAGATCAGGTTTCAAAATATTAGTATCTGAAAGCACCTTTAGTTTACTTTCTGCCTAAATGTTAATTTATCTGGACATAAAATTTTAGGTAGGAAATTATTTTTTCTCAGACTTTTCAAAAAATTTCGCAGCTGATCTTTACCTTTCAATTCTGATATTATTACAAATCCATTGTAATTCTTGAGTTTTAATATAAGATCTTTTAGTATTCTTTCTGAAGGTTAAGAAGGTATTTTCCCCCTAGTATTCTAAAATTTCATAATGCCATATCATATTGGGGGCACTTTATACTTCCCTTTTCCAGGCAATCAGTAAGCTCTTTCAATCTGAGCACTTATTTCTTCCTATTACAATAAAATTTCTTGACTAATTTCCTTTATAAGATAAGACATCCTTTATCTTTGTAGCACTGACACTCAGAAGGATGACTGCTTAGCTGTTTGGACTGATTTTCAAATATTCTCTCCTCTTCTCTTTTTTGAGGGTGCTTTTGTAATTATTGTAATACTTGTTAGATCTTACTATTTTATATTTAATTTTAATGTCTTTTTCTAGATACATTTATAAATAAATAGAAGGATATATTTCCTTCTCTGTCCATGATGAGAGAGAGGGCTGGGGGGAGTGGGAGTGGAGGGGGAGAGAGGAACATGCAATATGTTGTGCTTCTGCTTTCCATCTGCCTTGGTCTTTGAGAATTTATGCCCAATGTAAATGTAGTGGGATTTCAAGGAAGAGTGGATGCAGACACATATTCAACCTGCCATGTTTAAACAAAAGGCACTGTCATACTGAACATATTCAAAACCACTTTCCTTGCCCACAACCTTATCTTTTATTGTCTTAATGTCTTATTTGTCCCATTTTACTATTTCATTTGTTCAGTTATTTCTGCTTTCGTCAGCATCCTTGCCAACAATACACAAAATATTTTTCGGACTCTGTACTCAAGACCATGGGTACTCCTTCATCCTACTTTTCTAACTACATATTTTTTCACTTCTCATATATTATTTTACTGACATTTTTATTTGCATTATGACATCTTTTATGTACAAAACTTTTAAATATCTACAACTTAAATAAAAATACTTAAATAAATGTCCTCCACAATAATCAATAGAATATTTGCAAGTACTTTTGAAGCCCCCCAAAATAGTCCATTCCTTTTTCCTTCAAAATTTAGCACTATCCTAAATTGTATGTTTACAACTCCTTTGCTAGAAATAACATTTGTTTCCATATGTTTTTATATAATAATGATGCGCTCTTTTGTGTCTTGATCCATTCACACATTATAATGAATTTGAAATCCATTCATGCTGATGAATTTAGCTAATTTTTGCTCATTACTGAGCTTAAAACACTGAGCTTTATCACTGAGTGATAAAAACAATTGAATTTTCAAATAATGGGTAATGACAAAGTTTAGTAACATTTTTTATTCCCATCCTATATAATCCCTTAAATTGATAGACTTTTTCAGAAAAATTTATATTAATTGAGTTATACTGATGGTATTCATCCTTGGGGTCTGATATTTTTTGCAGAGTCTCCTGTAAAACTCACTATTTTGAGGAGAAAGGGTAGAGCTCTAACCTTTATTGGCAACTCCCCATGCTAGATATTGCTGGGTTCTGCAGAGCCTCCCTAAATGAAAGGCAAGCCTGCATGTGCTTACTTGTTAGACTTTCTGATTTTCTTTTTTTTTTCATATGTGCAGAAGAAATTAAAATGATTTTTCTTAGCTCCTTTATCAACATGTAATTGTTTAGATAGTCCTTCAGAATATCCAGTCTGTTATATTGCAAGAAATAGAAGTTTGCTGTATTATGTATTGAATGAGATCAAGTAACAAGGCAAATAATTCTGACCAAAAAAAAAAAAAGAATTGGAATTTAAAAATTTCAATTTTTTCTCATTCTTTATTGGTGTTGTGTTACCAAGCATTACAGCAACAATAACAAAACAGCAATAATAAAAGAGATTTATCAAAATTTAAATATGTACATCCTTAATCCTCTATGCCTCATTTTTTTTGCCTGTATATGGATGTAATAGTATTAAGCGTGTGAGATTTTAGAAAAGTGTCCACTACTCATTTTTAACTAGTACTGAATCCATCATATGCCCAGATTTAAAGCATGTAAACTGAAATGCAGGATACTATAAATTTTTAAAAGCAGACATTGAAACATCTGCCTTGCTTTTTATTCTCTCAGTCTCACACTCTCTCATAAATACACACACAAAATCATATGTGCACTCTGGAATTCCTGGAGAAAGAAACTGAATTTCATAAAACAAAACTTGAAATTGCTTTAAAATAGCAACAGAATTATGTGCCAGTATTGCAATAAATTTAAATAATTAAATCCTTTAGAGCTAATCAACATTTGCAAAGGCTGAAAAGACATGTCCCTCAAAATCATAAAATAAAGGACAGCATTTAGAGTATACAAGCAGAGATGTAGACAAGCATTTCATTTAAAAAAAAAAACAAGAACAAAAACAAAAACAAAAACCTCAACATCTTTAGAAAATTCTTATCAGGGAAGTCTTTATGCTAAAGCTTATTCTTAATTATAGCTTGGCTCTTTGAATGTTTAGTATATAGCTGGGCCAATATATCATTCAAATGCCTGCTAAGTACCTACTATGCACCCAGCACAAAAGTAGCAGAATCAGGCAAGTCTGACATTTTGATTACTTGATCTGATTTTCTGTCACCTGTCTTTCTGGCTCCCCTAGAGAGAAAACCGGAAGGAGAGGCTCTGTCCCTTCAGGGAAATCTTAATGAGACCTAGCAGTTCAGATTGACAACCTAGAATAACACCTGGTTTTTAGTGCTCATCTTTTAGAATAAGCATTAGTCTTTTCTTTACATTACAAGACCTTTTTCTTCACTTTATAAGACCTTTTTATTCACTATTACATTTTTTATTTAATTGTTACATACTTTTACATGAAGAGAATGCTAAAAGTTTTTATTTTTCTCAGATGAATGATTGCAGTAGACTCTGGCCTCAATTATTAGCACAAATTTGTTAGCTCTGAAAATTGAAATGCAAACTTAAAAATCTTGTTTCCCTTCAAAATACTAACATTAACATGTTTTTTTTTTCAGTTTTCACTATTTAATTTCTTCAGAGTTAATCTTAAATTTTAGAAGGCACTTTTCATAGTATTTTTCTTTGGTTGCATTTCTTCTCTGCTCATCTTTGTTTCCTAATTATCTTATCTGATATTCTTCACTCATATGTTTGTGTTGCCACAATGGTAGGTTATTTTCCATTATTTGATACTATTAATGCTTATTTAATATATCATTACTCTGCTTATATAGTTTTGAGAATCAAGCTAGGATTCAGATCAGGTTTTGTACAATCTTCAAGCACAAAATAAAAATCTCTACTTGTAGCTGGTGTTGAAGTGTATCTCCAGGACAAATGACTGAAATTTCAAGCTTTGTGATCAAGAATGTAAAGGAAAGTTACCAGGTTATAAGATCAGAAGACATTAGAAGATTGGGGTGGGAGCTACATATTAAAACAACATAGAGGTTTCAATATCAACTATGGTTTCTTGGCAGGGAAGTATCTAGAGTTTGTGGTACCTGACGTCTATACAATTTGGGTGCCTTTTGAAAAAAGGAAAAGTATATTACTAATACAAAAATTGTGGGCCACTCCCAAGGCTTTGGAAAGGCACTATACTAATTAGTGACCTGAAAGCTTAAGCTTATGTGATTCATGATATATCTATCGGCTTCTGCTCTTGGATGAAATTTCTAGCTGGTGAGGGTAATTTTAGATTGAGTATATCATATCGTCTAGCTGGCATTACCTAATATATCCGATTGATGAGAAAGAAATCTCATACTAAAGTAAGTGCTGAGACTTCTTAAAATTGTTCTAAAAACACAAATTGTGGTAAATGCAGGCATTGGATTAAATTTACAGGTTATAAAATTAGCATATTTCTTTGTGGGAAACCAGGAAAAGTTAAGGTGGTAGACATGAGGCAAGAAGTGGAGCATAGGGTTGTAATGGGAAGATAGGACAACTGCAGTGTGGCACAAAAAGATACAAACACCATAAAAAATGATGGTGGTCTTGCATAAATTGTGTTAACAACTTAAGATATGTTTAAATGGTGATAAAAAATAACCTTTATGTAGGGCAGGCAAAAACTCCCAAATGCAAAACTAGTAGCAAAAGTACTGTCATTTTTAAATACAAAAATAATATGTCAAATGGTTTAGATTTAATGAGATGTCATTCACTTTATTATCAGATGAGTGTCTTAAGGGAAAACTAAAGAATATTTGTGTGGGCCATTTTCTTGGCCTATATTTGACCTCCTTTTTTTTTAATTTCAAATGTCACATTTTTCCACCCTTAGAAATGACAGATTCATCTTATAATGACTTAATCCGAGGGTTAGCAATTCTACGTAGAAAGAAGCATAAGTCCATGAAGAGAGAATAAATCAGGAAAAAAGAAATTTGTGAAAAAAGAAATGGTTGATATTATGAAAGTTATTCAGAAAATTGTGAGTATATCAAAGGGAAAAATAATTCTGTACCATGTCATGCAGTGAAGTGAAATAACAGTGTTATAAATGTGATTATGCTTCTTGAGATAACATTTACTTGATTATAAACTGACTTAAATATTATATTATCATTAGAAAGGCAATTTAAATTAAAATATATAAGAACTAGGCTTGGAAACAGATTGGTTGAGAATCTTAAAATACCAAGCCAAACTATGAAGTTATTGTGTATGTTTATGAAAATTTTGAACAATCATAATGCCTAAATCAAAATAGCAGATTAGGACAACAGATGGGCAATTTATGTCACAGACTGAATACCTAGCAATCACAAGCACCCACTTGGAAAACCAGGGAGAACTGATTTGATGCAACAACTGAATTATTCATTGTACATAATAGAATGGTGAACATTTATATTTTAATTGGAATTAGGAAAAAGAGACAAAAATAAAGTATTGTAGTGAAATAATTAAAATTAGCTTATAAAACCAAATTATTGAAAAGCTACATGAAATTTATCAGTTTCTGTTTATGGGGAAGTATTTATTCCATTTAGCTATTATAAAGTACTTTGCTAAAAGCATTGAATGTTTATACACCAGCTGTTTACTTAGGCTAGCTATTATAAAATCATATATTACATAGAAATATAAATATAAAAATATGTAAGTAGTAGTTTGTAACTACATTGTTCATTATGAATAAATTACACAAAATCGGATGCTCTGGGAGTATTGCCCATGTATAGGTCCAAATGTTAGTAAATATAATATTTATTTTCCTTTTGATTTTGAACCTCTGTTAAATTGACAAAAAAGAAAAACATCTTTTGTTAACTTTGTCAAATAATACACTAACATAAAATACAAATAGAGCAGAATTTATCACAAAGAGATTATTTTAAATGTCCAGGTTATTTCAAAGGTTAAATATTCTGTTGCTTCTCAAAAAGAAAAAGAAAAAAAATGCAACTTTGAAAAACATACTATTCCACTTAAAACTTTTATATTTTGTAAAACTTTTTATATATTGAGTAATACTTAATTAGCAGCAATTAATTTTGGCATAGAATAATGGCCTAACACAGTATTGAACCAAGACTCTAGTCCCAGTCTGTTACAGTGGGCACCAGGGGACGTATTGACCTTGAAAGCTTGTATTTATTTTCTGCAACATGCCAATGGCTTGTATGGTCTTATTTTATGTATATTTTATAGTCTATATGTCTTTATTATTCCTAAAAGTTTATAATTTAATATAATGGGAATATAACAGTTAAGGAAAAAGCAAGAATAAATAGTATCAGTGGTCAGAAGAACAGCAAAGCTTTAGTAGGATGCTACAGAAACATTATTAGAGACAATATTCCCCATATCCTGCAGGTGGCCTGAGATACTTGGAACACAGAAAGCCTAAATCCTTACTCTTCAAGTAAAGACATTATAAAGCAACAGGGAGCTTAAAATTCTTTCAAATCTTTCCAGAAACAACAAATTGAAAAATACAAATAGAAGAATATAAATTGGATAAGGATCTGTGTCTTAAATACCACCTTCTTGTATGTGTGATGTAAGATCATTATTGAAGTAGTTCTCCCCTCCCCCCCCCCTCCCCTCCCCTCCCCCTCCCTCCCCTCCCCCTCCCCTCCCCCTCCCCCCACTCTCCCCCTCCCCTCCCCTCCCTCTCTGCCTAAATACACACAGAGCTATTGCTAAACTTGTCTTCTTTCCTAGTGACAGCTTATGCTTAGTGGAACTTGTTTGCATTTTGATGTGTGCCAGTCAGCCCTAATTTTCAAAGGAATAAAGTGACAGCTTCTTCCTCTAGTGATAATTCAGGTTATTGATATGATTTGACTCCTTAGTTACATATGTTATGATAATACATAATGATTGAAACCCAATAAATTTCTTAAAGAATATGGAAGCAACAAGACCAAACAACTTATTTACAAAGTAATTATGCAAAATAAACTCTGTGTATTTGTGTGTATTAGTATTTATTGTGGCCAAGTTTATTATGAAATCCCCTATTTGGTAAGAAGATTGGAGGAAGAGCCCTAGGAATTTTAAAATATATATATGTTATGGTAACCTTTGAAAAATAAAGACTAAAAATAATAAATAGACAAAAATGTTACTAAAAGAAAATCTCTGATAGGAATGTTCACATTCATTGTACAAATGGTAAAATTTAAGGGCTACCAAACTCTAGGGAGATGATTATTTCAGGAAACAGAAACTAAGGTGTTCATGTTTCTGCCCACATGGGACATAATTTCATATTAGGGCCTAATCAGGGGGGATTCTTTGTGATAACTGGGAACAGAATTTGATGGTTTCTACTATCAAATTTTACTTGACCCAAATAATTTGGAATGCATTTACAGTGGAGATATGCAGGGCTATACACAGGAAAATGGAAAATATTTGTCTAGGTATTATTTGAATGCAATAGGAGGTTGCAAGTCTCTGTAGAAATACTAATGGTAGAGGCTTCTTACTGATACTGAACTTTGAGCAATTAAAGAAACAGGGCTTGAGAAATTCTGACAGAAAATAATAGTAAAATGATCCCAGGGTAAGGAAGCTTCTGTGAGCATAAGCTGCAAGAAATATCAGAAGGAATTAACAAAGAAGAGAGAAGAAAACAGAATGAATCTAAATGAACTAGTACTTTGTCACCTGTTAATTTATATTTACAGTTCTTCAGTGAGTAAGGAATTAGAATTTGTTTTTGGCCCACCTATTGCTTCTCGGATTGTTATATACTAGTTTCAGTAAGTTTTAGAGTAATATATATGGAACTCTCTTTTAATAATGAGTTCACCATTCTTTTTAACTCTTTCTTTTGTCCAGGTAAGGAATATTCAGCCAGTGAGAGCTGAAGGCAGGCCTGGAAATGTCAGCCCCCAGGGTTGCATTTTAATGACTTAGTTCTGGTGTTCACAGCTAGACTGTGGTGTGTTCCTGATGACATAAACTGTTCCGCACAACACTGACATCAGATGGGGCCACTCTGTGACTGTGATTGATCAAGATAAAAACAGGACCACTCTTCAATCAAGCTTCAGCACAAACAGAAACAAGAACTGTATCCAAACCACAAATATGCCAAGTAACCCCTGAGCTATCATGAGTGACTGGTGCTTCTTGAACAATTATTCCTTGAATTGAGCTTCCTTTTCCTTCCTTCTGGATGCATGCTTGTATACTACTGCTTCTTCCTGACCAGGTAGAATCCATAACAAAGAGTTTTTTCCTTGACCCCACTCCTAAATCACCTAATACAAACCCCAAATCCTAGGAGTCCCTTCTAACACCTTTTCTCCATGGTGTGAGATCACCAATATTGTAAGTTCAATAAATTAACATGGATGAGTTGAATCTGCATTGGTATTTGGCTAGAAGGTGCTGACAGATATCATAAAGAGAAAGTCATTAGAAATCACCCCTCGACCTGATGTCATATAATTGGGAATATTTTGCAATTTGTTGTAGTCAAAGTTCTCATCCCTCCAAGCGGCTTACCTATCATTTCTACACATATTATCTAGTATTTCATGGGTACATGGTTTTAATGGTTAATAGACCTAAACTGAGTTGATAATCTCCAGAGATCTGTGACTCCCTGCAATTCTCATATGTGAATGTGTACTCTTCCAAGTTAAGCCTTGCTGTGTTCTTGAAGAAATAATAGTCACTGATTTTTACAAAAAGATCCAAAAGAAAACTGAGGCTTTCTTTTTTAAAGATTTTATTTATTTTTTAGAGAGGGAAGGGAGGGAGATAGAGAGAGAAACATCAATGTGCGGTTGCTGGGGGTCATGGCCTGCAACCCAGGCATGTACCTTGACTGGGAATCGAACCTGCAACACTTTGGTTTGCAAGCCATGCTCAATCCACTGAGCTACACCAGCCAGGGCTAGAAAACTGAGCCTTTTGAAAGTACATGAAACTCACGTCAGTAAGTTCTGATGTAATACATTTTTCCCCCTCCCTGCAAACAATGCCTCATGAATAAAAAGTGATGGAACCTGTGTCTGCTTTCTACCCATGTGTTTTAGTGACTTATCTTTGGTAACCTATTTTCAAAATCTATGCAAAGCATTTGAGACACTGTAATTTGTCTTTTTCAACACCCACTTACGAGTTTATTTTTGATTCCATAGGTTATTTACAATTGCATGTTTATACAAGTTCAGAGAGGAACTGAAGCATAGACAAGCAACATGGCTTCACATGTAAGGGCACATAAGCTGGAGTAAGACTGCCAGGGTTTGAATGCCCCACTGACCGTGTACAATTAAGTGTAACTTCATTGAAGTTATTTTTCATCTCTGTACCTTAATGTGAAAATAAATATAGTATCTACCTGTTTTCGTTTCTTTGAAAACTAAATGAATTAATTTGTGCCAAACTGCAGAACTGTGCTAGCACATAGCAGGAACTGTTCTAGAGTATATTTCTGAACTACTTAATGTGTTTACACACATTTATGTGTACAGAATGTAGTATTGTAAAAAGTAAGAGACATCATATGTTCTTAAATAATTTTAGTTAGATTTATAGAAGATATAATTTATATACAGTAAATTTAGTCTCAATGTGGTATGAAGTTTAGGTCAACATTCACTTTTTGGCCTATGGATATTTAACATTTCTGTACCACTTGTTAAAGCAACTGTCCTCTTCCCTTTGAACTGCAGTTGCTCCTTTGTCATAACAATTGACCATATAACCCTAAAATTCTTTTCTAGATTTTATTCAAATCAACAGGTATGTACATTTCCTGTAACCACAGTATCTCAATTGCTCTATCTACATACTAATATGAAATCAAGTGTGGTTAGCCCTGTCACAATTTTCTTTTTCAATGTTTTTTTTTTAATTTGTCTAGCTTGTTTGGTTTTCCAGGTAACTTTTAGCATATCCTTGTCGATATCTATAAAATTATTCCTGGGGAATTCATTCATTCACTCATGCATTCACACTATCTTTTTCTAATATAAGCATTGAATGGTATAAAAATTCTGATCAGCCACTATTTTTCTCAACATGCAGTGGAACTGCAATAAACCTAAACATGTTAGGGAAAAATTGACATCTTAAAACTATTGGGTTTCCAATCCATAGACACTGTATGTGTCTCCATTAATTAAATTTTCTTGAATTTTGTTTCTTTAGGGTTTGTAGATTATCTAGAATTGGTATCATTTCTTGCTTAACCATTTTATAGAATTCTTAAGAGTAAACATGCAGGCAGATATTTCTATTTTCAGAAAGCTTAACTATAAATTAAGTTCTTTCAATAGATATAAGAATATTCAGGTTATATGTTCCATGTTGACAAATGTTGGTAGTTTTTGCCTCTTTTATGTTTTGAATGTAATTGACTTGCATAGAGTTGTTTGAAGTTGACCAGTATCCCTTGTCATTATTTTTATACCTGTGAAATTATTAATGACTTTTATTCTGAATATTGGTAATTTGTATCTTCTCTCTTTTTTCTTGTTAATTTAGCTGGAGTTTTAGGGGTCTAATTGATATTTTCAAAGAATCAACTTTTGATATTATTTTTCCTCCATTTTATTGTTTTCAGTTTTATTTATTTCTGTGCCTATGTTTACTATTTTACCAATTCTATTTGATTTTGTTTTAATTTGCTCTATATATACTAATTTTTAGGAGGGAGATTAAAATGATTGACATGACACTTTGCCTCTTTTCTAATATAAATATCAAATACCATAAGTTTCCCTATAAACATTGCTCTACCTGATCCTATAATATTTTATATACTGCATTTTTATTTTCATTCATTTCCAATTATATTTGATTTTCTGTAACTTCATATTTATCCATAAATTTCTTATTTATCTCATCTGACAGTAACTTGTAATTGGGCTATTTACACAATTTACATGGTTTGATTTGAATTTGTCATATTGATAGTTTCTTTGTACTATTTAACCCATCTGTTCTTTGATTTTTTCCTATTTCCTGCCATTTTTGAGGATTGATATTTCTTTTCTAAATTAATGTAAAATATATGGTCTTATCTTCACTGTCAGCTTATTACTCATAACTCCCTTTTAGTGTTTACTCTAAAGCTTACAGTATATTTCTTTAACTTATAAGACTTTGCCTTCACATATTATCATATCACTTCCAGTATAGTGTAAGAAGCCCTCCGTATCTCACCTCTCACATAGTGTGCTATTGTTTTCATACATTATTCTCTATATATTATAATCCTCAAGACAAATTATTACTATTTCTATTGTAGGTGGTCACTTATCTTTTAAAGAAAAATTTAAATACATTTTATATTTATTATTTTAATATTTCTGCGTTTCTGTTTATAGTGTTGCATATATTTATTTTATTGATCCTAATTTACAATTTGACATCATACTCCTTCCTTTACTATTTCTTATAGGGCAGTCTGCTGAGGATACATTCTCTAGTTTTTTTATCTAAAATGTCTTTGACTTCAGTTTTGAAATATATTTTCATGGGATACAAAATCAGTTTTGTCAGTTTTACTCAAAATATTTTATATGCCACTGCATTATGCTCCGATCTTTATTTTCTTTATTTCTTTTAACCAGAAGCCTACTCTATTTCAAATTTTTGTTCTCTAAATAAGTTCTTTTTTTTCTCTCACACTGTCTTCAATATTTTGTTGCTGTCAGAAGTTTTTACTAAGTATGTGTGTGTGTGCTTACACCATTATATCTTCAAATACTCCTTCTGCCCTCTCCCATCACTCCTCTTCTACTGAGACTTCAATTGCATGTGGTGGGACTGTTTAGTGTTGTCACACAGGCTTTGGATGCCGTGTTCTGAATGATTTCAGATCTCTTCCTTTTCTTTCTTTTTCTCTCCCTTTCTTCCTTCCTTCCTTCCTTCCTTCCTTCCTTCCTTCCTTCCTTCCTTCCTTCCTTCCTTCCTTCCTTTCTTTCTTTCTTTCTTTCTTTCTTTTTTTCTTTCCTTCTGTCTTCCAAGTTTGGATCATTTTTCTTGAACATAAAGTTCTAGTTTCTGCTGTGTCCAGTCAGTTGAAAATAGCATCAATGGAATTCCTTATATTTGATATCTCTTTTTGGTGGAACCATTTCCATGTGTCTCTTGTTTTTGTCTTTTTTCTCTCTCTAACAAAATTCCCTTTCTATATTGTCATGTTGTCTTTTTTCTAAGTGTCTCCTTTAAAATATTTGTCATCATTGTTTAAAAGTCCTTATATGATAGTTCTAATAACTTGATGATCTCTAGGCCTGATTCTGTCAACTATGTTTTCCTGACAGTTGGTTGTTTCTTTTTAACTTTATTTTTTGGGAAACTTTTTATTAAACAATAGGCAGTATGTGCTAAAGAACATTACAAACCATAGTAAGCATAATCTCAGACTCTTCATGTGGGGGATTCCATTCAATCAATAGTTGAGCTGGTTTCTGACTCTTGTTATTTTATGATTATCTCATTACCACAAACTTCAAATCCCTTCAGTGTCAGGATGCTCCTAACCTATTCTTCACGTTTCACCCTGTGCTTATCTGAAACCTGTATGTTTACCTCACGGTGTTGTTCTCTTTCAGTCTTGCCCTCCGTACCCCACCACCACCCCCAGCTATAGACTGTTGTGAATTTTTACTAATTTACTGTTAGGACGGGGTAGTTCTCAGTTTTCCTGGCCTAGCTGCAGGCCCTGTATGTCTGGGCCCCAGAGCTTTCTGGCAGTCAGGCTGTCCCTCTGGCAGCCAAGCTCTGTTGGGAGGAAGTTTGTTTACTTATCCTCCCAGAGCAGTAATGGCACTGTCTTTTTTAGTGCAGAATCCTCAGCCCAAGTGAATTTTCTCTTCCTTCTACAGTAGAAGACAACTTATGCTTTCCCCTGCTCAAGTTAGTACATAATGCATTGGGCTTCTTAGTTGGGAGAGTAGTTCCCTGCCACTCGAGCAGTTTAAGAATTTATATATAGGAGATCATGGTCTGGAATATGATATTTTGTGTCCATGCACTACTGTGGGGCTTAGCAGGTATCCTGCTCTGCCCCCTGTGTTTCTTAAAAACACCTGGTGTTGACCCATGTTAACAAGACGGCATATTAACCATACAGATGACCATGGAGAAATTAATTATATTTTTTGTTTCTTTTTTCCTCATTTATAAAGTAGAGGTATTGATAGAATTTATTTTGAAAATAATAACTTTGAACTTAAAAATTAAAATTAAATAAGGCAATACATGTAAAGAACCTTTAATACTACCTAAGAATTTTTTAATGCAATCAAAATGTTAATCGGTATTATAGGGACACAATTTTTTTATTGTTCACAGTTGATTTACTTGGATGTGAGGTCTTCAAACATATCATCTAGAGATAATAAATTATATTTCTTACTCCCAAATTACTTCCATTTCTTTACCTACAATTGTGTTGGCTGCAACCTTGTATACAAATTTAGTATCAGTGGAGAGCCAGCAGCTGGTCTGTTCTTTAATAAAGTATTTTGACTATTTAGCCATTATATATGATCCTTGCTATTACATTTTTGTAGACTCTTTCTCTATGTAGAAAGTGTTATTTTTTTAGTTTACTATGAGATTGTTTAATTAAAATTTCTGTTTTTTACAATCCACTGGATGTAATTTATTGAATACATTTTGTGATCCATTGGAATAATTTTGTTATGCCTTTCTCCTTTTTTCTATTAGCAGAGTAGATGTCACTGCATATAACATGTTATTTAAATGTTAAATTATACCTGTATTTGTGAATAACCCAACATGGTCAGTTTTATATTTTTATTTAATATATTGTACTTAGGATTTTGACATTCTCTGTTTCTCTGTTTATATGTAAAATAGATCTGCAACTCTCTTTTCTCGTCTGGTTTTGTTATAATGATTAATTTAGGCTCATAAAATGAAATGAATAAATGGAATCACTCACTTTAAAATAGTACCCCTTGATTTTCCATTTAATATTATTTTTGAATTAGTCCTATTGGTAATATTAGAGTTATCTCATTATTTTTAATAGCTTCATACTATTTATTGTATGGATTTAAATTACTGACTTAACTAATCATTTATTCACTTATTTAAGAAATATTTACTGAGTACCTACTGTGTATTTAACACCATTCTTAGTGTCTACTATATAGCCACATATAAAACAAAACCTCTGACCTCATGATGCTGATGTACTTTTTGGATGAAACAAATAGTACATTACTCAGTGAATAAATATTGAATTCTAGGCAGTAATACTTATTTCAGAGATAGATTTTAAAAGCAGGCCAATGAGATAAAGGATGCCAAAATATGCTGTGTTGAATAGTACAATAAGTGATAAATA